AGCTTCAGCTGAGATGAAACAGTCACGTGGTCCAAAAGTTAGGCTCAGCTGGCTACGCGAGGTCTACCAGGAATGCATCGAGCAGAAGCGTTGGGAGTGTGCTGCTCGGGCATACTTGTTGCATCTGCTTGGATGCACAATTTTTACGAATAAGAGTGCGACTCTAATTCGAGTATCGTATCTCCTTCTCTTGCGAGACTTGAATGCTTGTTCGAGATATGCTTGGGGAGCATCAGCACTTTCACATACATATGAGCAGCTAGGAGATGCTAGCTTCAGTGAGGTCAGACAGATAGCTGGATATTCCACTCTTCTACAGGTACATTACCATCTTCTAAGTTTATTTTAATATTGTTTGACAATGAATCAAACAATTGAAGTAATGTTTTTTGTAGAGTTGGATATATGAGCACTTTCCTACAATGGGAAGGAGGCAAGTGTCTGAGAGGTACACAGAACTTGATCCACGTGCTTCACTATACATACCCCCGAGGGTGGGTTGGAGTTTGACAGAGGGCCGAACATTTTTGGATGCCCTCACTTATGACGTAGTTATATGGTGGTTAAGAAACATTAATTGATTAATTAAGTTTTGACTTTTTGTTAAATGAAGGGTAAAGAAGTAAAATTGGGGGTGCAGGATGAACGTAGTGAGGTGTAGGAAGAATCACTCCGTCAAGAAAGGTGGTGAGGGAGGGGTAGAGTGTTAGGATTCTGGGAGAGACTATTTTTCATGTCATAATTTAATTATATTCACGTAATAAAATGATTCACTGCAAATTTACTTTGCACCACGTCATCACATTTTAACGTCGTTTCTTACTACTTAACAAAACGTGAAAATTTAGTACCTAATTGTGATCGTTTTCAACCAGAGGACCCATTTAAGATTCTCCTACATAAACATGAGGATCATCCGAGAATTTAAACCTTAATTAATGTTTATAAAAAATCACAAAATAAAACATAATTATTAAATATTTAATATAAAAATATATTTAATATTTAAAAACAAATGATAATTATATAATTTTAAATCAAAATATTAAATATCAATTAAATAAAAGTAAAAGAATTACATAACATATTATACAATTACGCATAAAAAAATTTGATAACAACCAAAAACACGCATTAATTTTAAAAATATTAATAAAATAAAATTGATAAAATTAAAAAATATTTTAAAAATTATGAGAAAAACAAATATTTAACTATTTTGTTTACTTTTTTTCTCTAAATTATATTGAAATATATTTTTAATAAGAACAATATTTTTAAATTAATTTTTAATAATAACAAATATTTAAGTGTATTTATATAATAACAATATATTTTTATGCATTAATAAGTTTGTTTTCACTATTATTTCTCTTTGCGTAAGTTCTTCATTCCTTCTTTACTTTGGGTTCAAGATTATTTAAACATTTTTCATATTTTAAGTTTTCATTTTGTTCCTTACCAACTTATTCAATGAAAAACAAAAAATAAAACATTAAAAATTGAGTAAGTGGTATACCAACGGTTCGTGTAAATAGTACGTGTATAACTAAAATAAATAAAAGGGAAATCATATTTTTATTTTAAAATATAAAACAATTTGTGAAGAATCAACCATTAAATTAAAAATATATTTTTTATTAGATGTGTCATAAGGTAGAGAAACTTAAGGATATTTATGAAAAATTCTTCTAAAGAAAATGATACGACATAAACTTATGAAATAAGTGATTAAATTAATATAATCTGAAATATCATAGAAGTATTCAAGAAGAAATACAAGAATAAAAACATAAAATTTGTACCTACCAATAAATTCTTTGAGGGAAAACATTAGACATATTTGAGACCAATAAATAATTATTACAGGAGATCAATAAGTTGCCTTAAACCCATTTTGATAATATATTGGTAAGTTTTTACTTAGACATTTTAATTTTTCTTTCTACATAATATAAAACTTTTCGCTCATTTTAATATGAGCCATTTTTTTTAGTGTTTTAAGTATTTAAAATCATCTAATCAATGTATACAATGACTCCTATAATTCTTTTTGTTATACTCGTTTAGTTAATATATGAAAATACTCATATAATGTTTATTGTTGGACTCGTCTAATGTTGTTCACTACATTCATCTAATCAGTGTATGAACATACTCATCTAATGTGTTGCAGGATTCATTTAATTAGTGAATTAACAAATTTGTCTAATGTGTATTAATAGACTCGTCTAATTTGTGTCTTGAAAATGTGTCTCGACTCCTATAATGTTTTTGCTATATTCATCGAATCAGTGTATAGAAAGATTCATCTTATGTGTACTGCTAGACTCTTCTAATCAATACATTGAAAGACTCGTTTAATATGCAATGCTAGACTTGTCTAATCAATATATGGACTATAACGTGTATTGCTAGACTCATTTAATCAATGTATATTCAGATTCGTGTAATGTGTATTGTGAGACTCATCTATTTAGTGTTGTAAAAAAGTTTAAAAAATAACAAAGTTTCCTTAGGCATGTAAATCACTATCCTTAAGGACTTATTCATTGTGTTGTCAAATGTAGGTTTTTGACTGACGCAAGGAAGACGTTAATCAAATATTAGTATTGACTTTTGTTCATTTGTGTTAGTTTTCTAGGGATATTGGTGAGAGTTTTTTAGTGTTAGAATCGGTTAAACTAATTTTAAAGTAATGTAAATATTTTTCAAAAAGAAAAAAGTGGAAAGTGTAATATTATTTTTACATTTCATTTTATATTACGTAAAATGTGTATATCTTTTAAACTAATGCTAACTTAGAAATGGTGTTTGCTTAGTCAACTCTTAGTGCATGCTAACTTTCTGATAAAGAAAAAAAAATGTTAGTAATAGATTGGAATTGATAAAGTCCATTTAATGTGGAATACTAGTACCTTTAATTCAATTTGTGTCATCAAAGTGGTACTAAATTAAATAAAGTTTAAAATAAAACGCATTAGTGTAGGTTCCAAATATTAATTAACACAAGTTCCAAATACCTTCAAGAAAGTAGTTGTTGTGAAGAGTGTGAAGCTCACTCTTGTAAATCTTGATATCCAGTACTCGTTTTATCTGAAAATTAATGAAGGCAACACATGAAAAAAAAAACCAAATGAAATAAAATTGATAAAGT